CTTTTTGAGTGACTCAAAGTTGGTATTAGTTAAACACGGTTAATTACTGCAGTTCGATTACGATCTCTTGATACAACTAACACCAACTTTGAGCTACTCAAAAAGTCCCGTTCCCGCTTACTTTAATGCAAATAACGTATATACTTTTGCTCATACCGTACTGGCTGCGGTTCTTTATTTGTGTTTATTCTCACCCATTCAGATTTGGTTTTGATAAGCATTCTCTCCTATAGACATTTCATGTACATCTGTGTTAGTAAATTCAAATAATACGAACTTACGTATTTTCTTGTAAGATAGTACATGATAGGAGAAAGTTTGTATTCAACCACAACACCGAATCACAATATTAATAGGTTTGTTAGAGAATTTTTTGTTTTCAATTTATTTATTGTATTTCACATATTTTTCTTGAATAAAATTACATTTTGTCCAGACATACAATTCTACGAAAGAATCGAAATGAAATTCTGTCATTTTACATTTTTCATTTTTTCCCCTACAAAGAAAATGCCTGGCGTTTCCATAGTAAGTGAGGTCATTTGGACAACTAATCAAAATACTTATTTTACGCACTACAACGAATGCTTTCAATTAATAAACAGCAGTTGACATGCCGGCTGTTTCATAGCGACAGTTCAAATTGGTCACATGTAGTTTTCTGTTTATGAAACTATGTGCTATAACAATAGAATAGACTATGTGTAACAATGATTTCTAAATCAGCTACCTACTTTTTTGTCCCTCCATAAAAACTTCTTATCTCAAGGTCATGCGATTACACCAAGACCCGAAGCAACGAAATGCATTAGTATTGCGATAAGACTTTGAGATCTTTTAGTTTGTCAGCAATTCAAAACAATCACAAATCACATTCAAAACAGTCATCATTCGAACTTCGGCTTCGGAATATTGTGAAATAAAACTCGGTATACCCAAAATAAAATACGATGTTAAAATTTCATTTTTTGTTCTGTTCGTCGTTGATATTTTTACTTCTAAACACCCAGTCATCGTTACAAGGTCCAATTGAAAATGAATTAAATTCCACCATGGAACCATTCATCGAATCGACCACAAATGTCATAGTGCACGAGGTGTCGACAGAAGTGAATTCTTACAGTGATATTTTCGGTTGGTTAACAAAAGCAATGGAAGTTTCATCGAATTGGTTCTCGAATGCCACCGTCGATACAACCAATTGGATTTCGCATGCAAAACAAGATACCACAAATTGGATCTCTAATGCAACAGAAGACACCACGAACTGGATGGCCTACATTGTTGGAAAAGATTCGATAAAATTATTAAATCAAGCTGGAAATGATACAGGTGAATGGGTGGCACAAACCGCACTCGATCGGGATGTATTATTGGTAAATGCCAGAGAGAATACAGAAAAATGGGTGGACGATGCAGCGATTAATGCAACCAAATGGATTGAAGGCACAGTGTATCAATGTTCGCATAGAGCAATTTTGGTCAAAATAATTGTGGCAGCTAGTGGAGATGTTGTTGGTGGTGTTCTGAGCGGAGGACCCAATGGAATAGCAGCTAAAGCTGTGGAACATTGCGTGGAAAGAGTACGAACGATTGAAAATAAACAGAAAGAAAATATAACTGAAGCAAATGCCTTTGAAAATTGATAAAATAAACGGTTCGAATTTTACAAAAATGAAATAAAATCTATGTTACTAAGTACTTGTTTATTGGTTTTTGAATTTATCATTTCTTCTTTGTTTTTCTTACTCGAGCGTAGTAGCCAATACATTTTATTGTTTACATCAAATCACTTTGTTATTTCAAAAGAAAAAGTGCACCGCTTCAGTTCCGAAAAAATTTAGTTCAGTATGGATCCGAATTGTAGGCCTGTGTGGCAAAGGACGTATGAAAAATATTGTCATTTCTTCGAAGGTAGCAATGAACTCAGCGGCAGTGACTACGATTTTTTCGAAGAGGTCATGGACAATTTTCGAAAGTATGTAAATTCTATGGAACCACAAGAGCATTTACAAACCTACAACGGTAATAAATTTCCATGCTTCGCCAATGAGCAAAAAATTAAAATCGATTTGGATCACGGCTATGGCCGCCTAATTCGAGCCAAGCAAACCATCGATTTTGACGAAGTCGTTTTTCGATCAGCTCCATTTGCAACCGCAGTAGAGACAACTGAACATAAATATTGCTTGACCTGTAATAAAATACCAACCGAGATGGGCACAATGTCTGGACATGATGCATTTATTCAATGCCGTCAATGTCAAATTGTATTTTTCTGCTCATTACAGTGTAAGGAAGCAAATCAAAGCCATAAGTTCGAGTGTAGAACATGCTTTCAATTTATCGATGATGCCGATATTAAACTGTGTATCCAAATGGTCTTCGAAGCAATGACGCTATTTGGTACCGCGAAACAAATGCAAGAGTATATCGAACAAATTGTGAATGAAGGAAATTTTAATCAAAGTGTACCGACTGGTAGTTTCGATAAACAATCACGATTCGACTGCATCATGCGGTTGCATGCGTTTGATGTCGACGATGACCAATGTAGAACGGCTCGTATAGCATACAATTTGATAATGGAAATACCCGTAATAAAAATGAGCTTCGTCAAAAAGTCACAGACATGCTTCTTGAAACGTTTGCTGTTGCATTTCTTGGGAGTTATTTATGCCAATGCATTCGGACCAGCACTTGTTATTCCAACGCACCCAGATGAAACTGAACTAAGTCGACTCATGATTTTTGACGTTTTTTCATTATTCAATCATTCATGCTGCCCAAATGTCAAATATTATTTCGAAGACAATTGTAATACCATGATCGGAAGAGCAAATCACCGAATCAACCGGAACGAACAACTTTTTATCAGCTACAGTTTTTGCTATTATAGAAACAAGGCTGTACGCAGAGCTGAAATTCAAAGAAATTGGAAATTTCGGTGTCATTGCAACAGGTGTAGGAATAACATCACTACGGAGCAGCTTAAAAAAGCAACACACCCGAAAGTTTTGCCAAACCTTAGAAACATTATGGGAAACATCGATACGAGCAATTGGAATGGACAAAATTGTGCTTATATTTTGAGTTATATGATGAATATTGAACCTAAGCAACTCAACTCGTAGCTTCATAAAAAGATAAGAAACGAAACTAAAAGAAAAACATAAAAAAACAATAAATCGGAGATAAAAACGATTTTAGAGATATTTTTTTTTGAAACGTGAAATCATAGAATTTATTCTCGACCTTGTGGAACCGTAGTATGGTAAGGTTTATAGATACTGGCGAACAGAGGGAGTTACTCGTGGGACTTTTAAAAAGGTGTCTGGCCGTACACTTCCCTTTACCAAAATCAGGTCCTTGTGGGATGTTGATCCGACCCCCGGACCCCTGTTCTGAAAATATTTCTCAAACAATTCGTTTTTGCCACTTATCATGACCTAAACTTTAAAAATGTGGTCAAAAAAAATTAAGTGAGTAAAAATTAGTCAAAAGCATGTGCCAGAATTTCTGAAGAAAAAATATATAATTTATTCAAAAGTTCAACTCTTCGCGGTTAATATTTTACATTTCCGATGACAATGTAATTCGATTTAATTTCATTTTCACTCATATTTTCAATGGTAACTTTTCATTCTGTATATCTCAGCAAACAAAATCAAAGAAAAAAGAAAAAAATGAAGTATTTTATAACAAATCCATAAAAAATACCTTTTAGGCCAATTTCATCATGCATCAAACAAAAAATTAAAGTATTTCTTCATTATTCTTAATAATATTCTCAACAAATACTCCAAATAGTTCACTGTCATCATACTTCGTCCCCAATAAATTGTGCTTACTCAATACCAGTCCATTGCCGAAGACCACTTTGGTTTTCCAGTAAATCTTTTGCATTGCTTCCCTGTACACTACCTAAGGGGAGAATCACAAAAGAAAAGAATAGAATTAATTTTTAAAATAATCGACAAATAATCGAAAAAGAATCAATAAGAATTATTAAATAATAGAAAGGCAATTTTTAAGTGAATTGCCCCTGTACACTACCCGAACATCGTTACCGGGATGGTGAACATTCAACTGATGTGCTGTAAATTCATACAAATCCAATGCTTTAAACGTGCAGTTTGGACATTGCGATGATATTGGATGCACCTTCAAATGATTAAATAGTTTCTTGTGATCAACAATGGCTTGACAACAGCCAGTGATCAAATGAACACTTTCGTTGTTATAGAATTTCTCAACATTCTCTTTGAACAATATGTGTTTATTGCCATGGTGAACTTTATAGTCGATTTTTGTTTCAAATGTCTGGTGACAGAGTCCGCATAAACGGTTTTTATGTCCTTTCATCTCGATCAATTTCTTCAAACTTTTATCGCTCAACGGAATCGGACAAAATAAATTTGTTATGGAAATTGAAGAATGTTCGTTTTGGAAATGTTCTTCCACACGGTCACCGATATATTGGCATAAGCTGCATTTCTTTGGATCAAGCACATCAACTATAGCAAATTTTTTATTTGAATGTACATCGCCGTGATGTAATTTCAATCCTTGATATGTCCCCATCAGATCGCAATAAAAACACTTGGCCATTTCGGCGATGAAAAAACGAAATGGTTCCTTGTGTGTGGCTAACCAATGTGTAAGAACCTCCTGACAATTGCCAAAGCCAATAAATTTACGTTTTTCATTACCTTCATAGCAATGATAACAGTAAAACACCGTCTGAATACGGTTCAACTGAGTGCTGGTCTCGGTTGGATCAATGGCCTTTATAAAAAAGTCGCCCGGTTTCAGCACCAATGAATGTGTTTGATGCGATTTCGTAAAATGTTTGATCAGCGATACCTCATTGAAACGTGTCTCCTCACATTGTGAACATTCAAAAAATCGGCGCAATGTTTGCAATGTATTTTTGGTGAAAGTAAGTGTTGTCGTCGAATCCGGCACCGTGAACTTACGCAATGTATTGGTCGTAAAATCAATATCTAATGATTTGTGATGAATTTTAAAGTGTGCCGACGCATGTTCCATAGTGTAGGAAAACTCAGTGCATAAATTACATTTCAACATAATTTGGAGTTGTTCGGTAATCTCTGGCATATTTGATTTTTCACGCTTACAATAGTTAAATTTCATTTGTTTTTCGGGATGCTCGCGAATAATATGCAAAATGACATGGTTCCTCTCGGAAAATACCCGCTCACAGAATAAACACGAATAAATAAATTTACCATGCAATTCCATATGCTCCGACACATCATGCAGAAAGGATTTTCCAGTGGCATTAATTAGTTCGGAGCAATGTAAACAGCCAAAATTTTCGTCGGTATTTCGGTGTTTTTGACGAAGATGTGCTTTGAAATTGGCAAAACCATTTAATTGAGTGTCACACCATCCGATACCGCACTTGAAACGCTTCGCTTCTTCAATGAAAACATATTTATTGACAACTTGGATCGGTGTCAATGGTGTTAGGTCCGGAATCAATATGATTTGTTCGAAACCAATGGCAATTTCGCCACCGCATTTTTTATGCTCTTTTCGGAGATGCTTGGTCAGACGATTCTGATCGGTTTGAATGTAATTGCATAATTTACACATAAAGGCCGTCAATTGAGCGCCAGAGAATACATCAAACGATGTATTGGGCTCCATTTCACCGGTGTGGTATAATATATGTTTCTTCCACTCGGTCAACGATAAGGAACGCGGTAATTCACAGAAGAAACAAATGCCCGAAATTTGATCAAAATGCGGAGTGTAGATGAAATTTTCAGTACGGCGCCGAATTTTTTCAGCCATGGTCGGCGATGGTCGTGATATTAATAATTCAAATTCTGCATGAACTTTCTTGTAATGAAGGATCACATTTGTTTCAAGGGTTTTACACAGCCGACACTGGAAACGATGCTTGGCATAAATCACATTTGGATCGATGTTTTTCACATCGTCCCATTCAACTATTTCACCTTCCTCTGTAAAATAAAGAAAATTATTAAATTGTTTGAATTGCATTGAATGAAATATTTTTTGGATAAATTCCATTGAATATCAGATCGAGAGGTAAGTAAATTTTATATGGGGAACTATTCTTTGATAATTGCTTCGCTGTTATAATAAGCTACTAATTGGTTTACATTTTATCGTATACCATTGTACCTCAAACTTGTATAAATATCGGCTCCCAAGCCTGAGATTTGGAAGTTAGTAAGGGAAAGTGGGGTAAAGTGATAAGGGTTTTTGTGCACATCCAT